TTTTTTTTTTTTTTTTCCCTTTTTTTTTTTTTTTTTTTTTTTTTTTTTTTTTTTGCAATTTAAGTTTTTTTTTTTTTTTTTTTTTAAAAGTAATAATTGTAATTTTGTTTCATGCTTGTTTGTTATGGTGGATCCATACACAGAAACATGCTGTTATTATGTCTTCCAGTGGGATTTGCAAAGAACAAGGCAGTGACTCAGAGTAGTGGACGGTACTTGTGCTTTCAGGATGCGGTAGGTGTGCTTCAGATGTTCTTTTAATGAAACGCCAAAACCATAAGGACTGATTATTTTTATTTAAATATACATAAAGCACAATTTTCAGCTATCCTCTGCAGGTTTGGCAGACCTGTCTTAACACAAACTTCATAAAAGTGAAAGTATTGGCATCCCATAGGTTCATGTGTGAAATACTCTGTTTCTTGATACATTTTTCTATGGTCACGTATCTCAAATCTTATCTGACTAATGTACGTATTGATAGAAGAGTATGATACTGTGAAGGTCATTATAACTGCAGTCACTCAAACCACAACACGGTTTTGGTTTTTAGTTCTGCTTTACTTTTGAAACAGATTGTTACGCTGTCTTGTTTTTTGTTACATGTGTTTTGAAAGGAAAGGTCATTTTCACAGACACTGACCCGTCTCCTGTGCAAAACCCAGAGGCCTGTGTATAATAATGCAACATAAGGCAGATGTAACAATGTGTTGAAGGTTTAATAGATTGCATTCACGTGAACCGCAGTGGGAGGTTTGAGATTTCAGTTGTTTTAACGTGGCAGTCTTTTCGTCTTGGCCGCTCTGACTAGTCAGCAGCTGTGAAACGAATCTTTGTTTCAACAACATAAAGATGTTTGCTATCTCCTGGTGATAACGTCCAAACAGAACCTCACTTTAAAACACTAAAAACAGTAAGGCTTGAAGGTCCAAGCAGCAAGTTAAAAGTCTTGGTTTACGTTTTACTCCTCTACCTCCCTGCCATGATTTATTTGTAGCTGTTATGCTATTTATATATTTACTTCCTGTCCTTTTAAACCTTAACTTCAGGTTTAATCTTTCAACTCATCCTTTGCTTTCCTTTTTCCTCCCTCGCCTTTACAATATAATTATTTATTGTCAGTTTGATCGACTAAGCGTCTGTATGAAGCTAAGTCCATCCCAACAAGCTGCCCTGTGAGCTGCGTTAAAGTTTTTTACTTTAGTCTGTTTAGATAGACTGTGAACACATGTTCTCTGTTCAGACAAAGATTTTAACGGTAAGAAAAACAAACAGATGTCAGGTTTCATGTGCCAAACATGACAGAGACCATCCTGGCTTGTTCTTAGGAAAAAAATTAACAGATAATCTTTGCAATAATCTCGATAACGGTCATGGGAAAACCTAAGTACAACCCGAGATTCAATCTGTTATCGAACCACTTTTAGCAGCAATAACTTTTGTGTGACCTTATCAGCCTCACTTCGTTTGGGAGGAATTTTTGGCCAACTCTTATTTGTAACATTTCTTCAGTACATTGAGGTGTGCAGACACAGATGTCCTATGGTCCCGCCACAGGTCAAGGTCTGGACTTTAACTGGACTGTTGCAACACCTCGATTCTTATAGTTTTCAGACATTCTGTCGTCGATTTGCTTCTGTGTTTGAGACGGTTGTCATGTCAACACCCCAAATTTCTCAAATGTTTTTGTACGAAGTTGAGTTTGTGATCCACCGAACAGCTACGAGTTGCCTGAGCACAAATTATTACATCTTTGACATCATGCCTGTTAGTTTGTAAACAGGCGAGTGTTTAACTCGAAATACTTTGTTTTTCACCCAATGTCGTAATCGCATACCCACTTTGGACCTTGCTCTTCCCGAGTGTCGAGCTCGGACTGCGGGAGGTCTAATCATATTGTCATGAACATTGTTAGCATGTAGCATGCTAACTGAGGTGGAGTTCCTGAGGTTTGGTCAGTCTTTCTTATCATTGAACTTTCTGACCTTTTGTTGAATTTTCTAGGATGTGGTTGCTTAGAAAAATTGGCTACTTTTAAAAAAATGTTTTCTACTTGTGAATAGTCTTTCACACTGTTGAATAGTGAACGTTGGATTACTTGGAAATTACTTCCTAACCTTCCCAAGATTAATGGGCAGCAACAAGTGTTTCTCTTTGGACATGTCTTCATGTTTTGTCTTCTTCCAGTACTTATTACTCTGAGTCCACCAGGCTGGAAAACTTTCAAAATTCCTGTTTTACAGCAGTGGCCACACTCACTGGTGATCATTTATTTTAAGTATATCTAAGTATCAGCCCATGCTTACTATTTTTTTTTCCATTTACATCCTGTGAAAGCAGCAAGGTTGCACTTTCTGTTTCCCCCCCCAGGACTGAATCCATCAGTGCCATTTTGTATGTGTGCAACATCGACGGACACCAGAATAATATCTGTGCCAATGCAGACGGCGGGTGTTCATGGATGGCCTGTCAGCAGCCCGAGTTTGAAAATTGTGTGGATTTCATGATGATGAGAATCAGAGAATGACTGATCATAACAAACTTGCTTCACAGTGTTTACAGAGTGGAGAAGCTTGCAACAGCAGAGCAATTTATATTTGAGAAAGTGCGACTGCTCACGTCTCTCGCTCTCAGTGTTTCTGTTTTTGAAGCGTTAGATTCACTTTACACACAATACATGTTCAGCTTATGTTTTCAAACCTTTTTCATTCTGGGAAGTCTTTGAAACATGGTTTGTATGTTTTTTATCCAGTGAAGTGATATCGAGTCGAGCGTTTATGAATGTCTACTTTGGTTATATGTCTTCATTTTATTTAACTTTTTCTGACCCTAGGATGACATCATGTTGCCCCAGAGAGTCCGTTTGCAGTATGAAACATCTATCCTCCATCCAAACTCTGTAAGTTTTTATTTTTACTGTCATTGCTTAGTCACTTCCTTCTCTTTTTTTTTCAACTTTGCTCAACTCTGCTTCCCTTCTTTCTTTTCACTTCTCCTCGGCTTTTTCCTTTTCGCTCAATCTGTTGAAATAAAAGAAGAAAATCTTCATTGGGGCTCGTATGGGCAGTTGGCACGTGGAACAGTGAGAGTATCCGGTGCTGACGCTTTCTTTGACATGCCAGGTCGAAGGTCAAAGGTTGCGTGTGTGAGGGGAAGTGAGTGAGGCGGCATGGGGACAGCAGGCCCGCTCCCCTGTAAAAACACCCTGACCTTTGTGGCTCACTGTAATTTTTAAGCTCTGTCAAAAACATAGAGTTGAGAACAGATTTGCATGCGGTTGGAGAAGACAAATTATCTTTTATTTCTCAATCTGACATCAGATAAAATGTTTCTGTACCAGAGTTATTTGCATCAAAAGAAGAAATTTAAATAGATAAATTATTTAATTTTTTTTAAAGACGGTGTTGTTTAGTGTCGTCGTCTTGCAACCTGAACGTTGCGAGTTAAATTCCAGCTTCCTCCTGCCACATATCGACGTGCTTTCGGTGTGTAGTGTATGGAGGTGTGTGCATTTGTGGTCTATTGTCAGACAACAGAACAAACAGTGTATAAAAATATCTGCTTTTAACTTAATACTATATATTCATCCTTCAGTTTAATTTATCTTGACTCACTCTTATTCAAATGTCTTCTTTACTGCTTTTTTATCCTTGGTTTCCATCGAAACGGCAACTAACAACAATGTTTTTATTCTGGTTCTCTGTTTAAGCATCAATTTCTTATATGAAAAAGAAAAAAAAAAAAAAAAACGTATGGAAAAAACAGACAATTTCAAGTCCAGCACACCATGTTTTGCTTTCCTGTGCAGTTGAACATACACCAGACACGCTGTCAAAGCAAACATATTCATTGCTCGTATGATGGTGTGCATGTGTGTTTTCATAACAGCTGATTGGCTGCGGGGTCCAGCGGCTGCCGGAGGGATCTACGGAGCGCTACGCCCGCTGGATCAACTCACTGACTCGGGATCAGCTCCTCACTCAGGTAAACAAACGCGGTCCGTCTGTTTCAGCGCTTGTGTTTCATGCGCGGGGTGAAAGGTCGCATGTCAGGCAGCTACTAGGTCGGATAGAAACAGGATACATGCGTGTTGCTCACAGTTTGTACGGAAACGTGGCAGAGGAGCGGAGGGCGGAGGCAGCATCACCGCTGCCCTCAGAGCCCATCAAAGCTTCAGCAGGGGAAACGGGTCACACTGTCGACCGAGACGGGGGAGGGGGGGATGTTGACGGAAGCTGTTGGCAATGGAAAAAATTATTTTACTGGCAAAGAAATGGTGTTTCTTTCTGTGGAGACTTTCTGCTCCAACTGGTCCTGCAGCAGACATTCAACTGTTTTTGGACTGTAAAGCTAGCTTTAGACTAAGAACGCAACGACTTTCCTTGAAGATCTACTGTAAATAGATTAATATAATTAAAAATAAGAAATGGAGCAAATTTATCTATTGGTGTTTGGGGTTTTGCAGGGCCTGGAAATGATTTGAATTCAATCACACAATTAATGCATGTTCCCATTTTTAAGGCCTGAAGTAGACTGTTTCAGTTTTTAAAATTCAAAATATGCTTTATAAATAAAATAAAAAAACATGCACATAAGGTTTAGTATTACCTTACATTAACAAAATAATATAATAGATTGCATTACTCTTTTGCGTAATGATCACCTTTTTGTTTATGTATTTGTCAGACTTTTATCACATTTATCAATACGTTTATTTATGATATCTAAATGTAATGTTGCTCGGTCGATGGCTACTGGCACTTCACTTGTGGTGAGAAAATACAATTGTAGCTGGTCTACAAAAATACATCGCAGTCTTACTTTTAAAACCTAAATAATTAGGTGTTACGGCGCCCCCTTTGGAGGACGGGGGAACAACACGACAACCACCATGTATTGACAGAGTCCCTGTAAATGTCTAAAAACAGGATTTATTTTCCTGAAAATCCTAAAAGGTTTGCACAAATGGTGGGGGAGAAAAACATGTAACATTAGGTTTTAAGGATTTTATCTTCCTATATTTAAAAGGAAAGCTGTAATGTTGGTGATTTGCAGTCAGAGATGTTTAAAAAGGGAACAAGTCCTGTGCTTATGTGGAAAAGCTGTTTGACAGAACCATGTGGAATCATGTAAGCTATCAGAAGTGTCAGTGGGCCCAACGGACTGGACCACAAAATGCACCCAGCATTCAAAGGTTGTGCTTTTTTGTGAGCAGATTGGACACTTTAATTTGTCTAATTAAGTCTATAGACAGAAACCTTGGTGTAATTGTTTTGGCTGTGCGTAATCAGACTCTACATCACAGTGTTGATATTTCAGTTCACCTGAAGTAGGACAGACAAACCAGAGCATTCTGAAGAGCAAAAAGCATCTAGCAAAATGTTAGCATTAGCCGCTAGGCTGGGCAGCTAGCTGGAAGAGAGGGCTGCTCAAGTACTTTCCATTTTCACACTGTGAGGACAAAACTTTCTTCTGCAGTTGAATCATTTGACGTTTAGCTACATGATGCTGTTTGGTAGTTTAGTAACCCTGGCCTTTCGTTGACTGCCAATCGATTTGAGACGATGTGTTAGAAAGATGGTTTGAGAAACAGTTTTTTTTTTGTTTTTTTTGGGCACTAAACACAGTTTATGTTTCTTATTTCAGGTTAACAATACCAATAGTAGACTGCTAATATTAAAATAAGTTACTATTTTATCCCAGAAAAGGAGGAAATTGAAATGCGTGAAACCAACAGCATAGAACCGCACTGCATAGAATGTGCCTTATAGATTATCTTACAATCTCAATTCTTTTCAACAAATATTTCTTTTGTCTTTCACAATCTAGGCTCGTCCAATGTCCGAAAAGAGTGAGCATCTTTCAGTAAATGCTTTTGGTTTGCTGGAGTCTTTCACACATTTTCTGGGGAACCGGTGATACGGTGGGGAGGTATTTCTATTTATATTGAAAGGAGAGCTTGCCAGTTCTGATTTAGCAAAACACAGCATTGCCAAGGATACAGAACGACCTGGACTCCCTTTCTGTAACATGCGTGCACATTGTTACCGTCTGCATAAGCACTCAGCAGACATTCCAGGATATTTGTATGATATTAGGTTTCACGGAGCATGAGAGTGAGATCATGCACTGGTTCTGCATGGAGGTGGTGAGCCGCTCCTTTTCTTTCCCCTGCCTTCGACTACCCAACTTTACTTTTACTTTGGGTATAATTTGTGTATAAACAGAAAGAGCTTAGTAAATTGAACCACAAAATCTAGTGCTGCTCCCCATATTTAACTTTATATATGATGATTCAGAAACGCCCCTGCCCTCTGATTAGTCACAGTCAGCCTCCTACTGCGCCTGCTGTTTTCCCAGAACTCATTCTTATTCCTCTTATTCATTATTTGGCCCCAGCTTACATGTTCAAAATGTTGCAATATTACAACAGGCAGGCAAAAAGACGCATGGAGATGGACACATACACACACTTCCCAGATAAGATTCAGTCCAGCTGTTATAACTGGCTGAAACCAGATGTTTGGCACCATTTTCCACATCTGCAAAACATTTCTGGCTGGGAGTCGTAGTTCGTTCTATTGTGAAAATGTCACATTTGTGCATACGCACGTGCATTTACAGGCGCGCTGTGCGAAATGTGGCGATGCGGTCAGAGGCAGAAGTGGATCGGATGACCTTCAGGTTCAGAAGGTGGAAACTGTCACCCAACAGAGAGGAAAGGGCGAACAAGACGAGGCGAGTGGAGGGAAGGCGGGCTGTCAGGGGGGCTTCGTCTTTTAAAGCAGAAAAAGTACTGAGCATGAAGGAGTTTGAGAGAAAACAGGAGAAGCAAAATCACGAATGAGTCAGAGATCATCTGTGAGGAGGGGATTGTGAATGTTTTTCTTCTGTGCTGGAAGAGAACATGTATGCATCTGTAGGCCTGCCATGATAAAAAACTTTTACTGGATAATATGTTGTTCCAAAAAGTAGCACGATAAACAATAATAGTGTCATCTCGAGACCCTTTTCAACTAATATATTAATGATGATAGCTTCTTAATGCAAGTATACCCACTCAAAGATGGGAAAAAACAAACACGGGAACTGAAAAACATTTTAAATAATCATAATAAATAAAACAACCAAAACAATAAGAGTTGAAATGGACTGGGTGTCAAATGTTTCTCAAAGTGGCAGCTTTTCAACAACAACATCTATTGAACAGATGTTGTCTGAATTAAAATGATTGCACTCATTTTAATTTATTATTAGTTAATTTGTTGCTAATTTTGACAGGTTTATGCATCTATTTTGTTTTCAGGATTAGAGTAGAAAGGTTTTTCTCCCCCTCTGTGAAGCTTCATGTCTCCT